AAAGATGGAGTACTCTCTGTGTCAATGTGAGAAGAAAATGGTAGATAGGTAATTTATATCTACTCAGGAAGGTGGGATAGAGCTGTCATTATCTTGTAATGGAGGAGCTTTCCTGAGGAGGTTCTTTTGCATATGGATTGGCTGTTGAAATTCTAATCTTATCTGGCCCTGAAAGCCTTCAACAAAGAACACACATACTGGATGGGGGATCTTCTTCTGAGTAGCAGTGTGTGTGAACAAGATCTTGGGGTAAGGGTGGACTGAAAGTTAAATATGAGCAGCCAGTGTGATGCGGTGACAAAAAAAAAGCTAATGCAATCTTGGGGTGAATCAACAAAAGCATAACATCCAAATCACAAGATGTCATAGGGCCACTGTACACTGCATTCGTAAGTCCACCCCTGGAGTATTGTGTGCAGTTCTGGAGGCCTTACTTCAGAAAGGATGTGGAGAATGGAGTACATGCAGAGAAGAGCGATGAGGATGATCAGGGGCCTGGAGACCCTTTCCTATGAGGAAAGGCTGAGGGACATGGGAATGTTTAGTCTGGAGAAGAGGAGGTTGAGGGGGGACATGATTGCTCTCTTTAAGTATTTGAAGGGCTGCCTCTTAGAGGAGGGCAGGGAACTGTTCCTTTTGGCAGCAGAGGATAGGACTCGCAATAATGGGTTTAAATTAAGGGCGGGAAGGTACCAGCTGGATATTAGGAAAAGTTTTTTACAGTAAGAGTTGTGCAACAGTGGAATCAGCTTCCTAGAGAGGTGGTGAGCACCCCCTCACTGGCAGTCTTTAAGCAGTGTCTCTGAACAAATACTTGTCAGGGATGCTCTGGGCTGATCTTGCATTGAACAGGGGGTTGGACTAGATGGCCTGTGTGGACCCTTCCAACTCTGTGATTCTATTATTCTATTTGCTACTCCTTTTCATGAAAGAGTATTAGGCAAGTAGCCGAGTTAGCCTGTAATATCAGAACAAAATTCTCTAGTCCAGTAGCACCCTAAAGATTAAAAAAAAATCCACTTAAAGCTCAGTTCGTCAGGTACAAATAAGAATGAAGATCCATCAGCTCTGATATCCAGGTCAGAAGCTGGGAGGGGTATTACAAGGAACGGCCAGGTGGAGGTATAAAACGTAATCAGCTTGATTAGAACAAGGAGATATGTATAGAGATTGAATTACAGAAAATTAGAATATGTAATAAGAATATTATGTCCCTATTCAGCCCAGGGGGGTGAGTGGGGGGGTCAATGTCCTGAGTATGTTGATGAATTCAAGTTCAGCACGTATTCTCTCTTTGAAGTTTCTTGTAGGAGAACTGCCATCAGCTCAGCAATGGAATGTCTAGGAAGATTAAAATGTTCTCCCACTGGTTGCTGAGTATTGTGATTTTTAATGTCAGACGTATGTCCATTTATTCTTTCGCATAAGGAATAGCCTACTTGTCCAATGTAGAGAGTAAAAGGGCATTGCTGAGACCTGTTGTCATATATAATGTTGGAAGATGATCAGTTGGATGAACCTGAGGTGGTCTTGTTTATAGTATTAGTTCTGGTGATTGTGTTGTTAGAGTGAAAACCAAGACAGTTGGTGTCTTGGTTTATTACAGACTGGTTCCCAGAATCTGTCTGTCCATGTTAGGTAGTGCATTATTTTTAAGTGAGAAGTGGTTTAAGATTACGGGGCTGTCTGTGGGCAAGAAAAGTTCTGCTTCCCAGGGCCTTTGAGTGTAGTCTATCTAGCATAGGTTGATGGTCTTTACTTTAATGATACTGCTCTTAAAGCCGATTTGGCTCTGAACAGTGTCACGCTAAAACTAAAAAAAAAGAAAAGGAAATTTATTTAATGTGTCTATATAATGTAAAATTTAATGATTTTTAATCTTAATAGACTGAGAAAATAACTTGGTAACTGCCAATGTAATATTAAAATACACCTCTGCTAAAAGAAACTTCCAATTATCCAGTTCACACCTAGAGCCCTCCTCCCCCAAGTAGAGAGCTCTGCTTACACTAGGGCTGTCTTGTGTTCAAGACGGTTGATGGTCATTAATGATGTGTTGAACTGGTGTTTTCATTAGAAGATCTCTGTTTTTAGGAGCTAGAAGTCAGGAATGAATCCAAAAGATGCTCTGCTAACCTGATGCAGAGAAACTGATGCTCTTGAATTTCTGTTCGTCAGTGCTACAGCTAAAGGCACAGAACCTTTATCAGGAACAATGTCTCAACCTTATTAACATCAATTTAGATCAATGTAAGTTTCCTTATGTTCTGTTTGGGTTTCTATAGTGCAAGAAGTACACGAATGGCATCTTCTGTTACTGTTTTCCTGATGATCTTTAAAATGTTGGTGCCAGAGTATGATAATGTTATTCCCCTGGGGAGGTTCTGAAAAGCTCTAATGAGCTTTTTGTAATGGAAACAATACTGGTTGCCCTTGGAGCCAGGTTCTCTTCCCTGGGGTCATCAGTGATCTGTGATCATTTTTGCCAGCTAGGAATGTAGAACTTGGTTACTCATGTGTTACTTCAGTCCAGACTTGCAGAGAAAGAAAATAGACACACTGCACTACAATCTGGAGATCCAGTGTGGTATAGTGGTTAAGAGTGTTTGACCAGTTATCTGAAAGACCCAGGTTTAACTCCCCACTCATGTCATGGAAGCTTGTTGGGAGTCTTTAGGTCAGTCACACGCTCTCAGCCTAACCTACCTAACCTACCTCACAGGGTTTTTGTGAGGACCCAAAGCCACTTTGAGTCCCCATGGGTGAGAAAGGCAGGGTATAAATGAATAAAATAAATTAAAAAATAAATAATAATAATGTCGATCTTGAAAGTGATCATTAAGATACCATGCCGATCTGATATTTCTGCATAAAGTTTTACTCTGATTCCAGTGTCCAGCAGGAAAAGTATTATGAGCCACTTAAGAAATGTCTGTTGGACTCACACACAAGGCTATATTCATAACTAAGCATTTCTATTGAGTAACAAACATACTAACAGAGAAACACTAAGCATGTCTCCTTAGAATCCAACTCAGGTCTAACCCTAAGCCTAAAGCTAATAGATAACAGAACTGCAGATACCACCATTGAACTGCAGATTCCTCGACACATTCAACAAGTTATATTCTAGTTAAGCTGGCATATTGCAAGAAAAGATCAACAGGGGTGGGCCTGAAAGAGGTGTCTTCAAGGAAGATCTTCCACCATTCCTGATAAGCCTATTGAGGGATTCCTGATAAACTTTCAGGGACCTTCCTTCCTTCCTTCCTTCCTTCCTTCCTTCCTTCCTTCCTTCCTTCCTTCCTTCCTTCCTTCCTTCCTTCTACTGTCAAGTCACAGCTGAATTATGGCAACCCAGCAGGGGTTTCAAGGCAAGAGGTGTTCAGAGATGGTTTGCCATTGCCTGCCTCGGAGTTGTGACCCTGGTATTCCTTCGTGGTCACCCATCCAAATACTAAGGACAACTGTGCTTAGCTTTTGAGCTCTGATGAGATCGGGTTAGCCTGGGCTGTCCAGGTCAAGGCATAGATCCCATAATTCCAGGAAATTAAAAAAATACTTCCAGGAAATAAAAAAAATATATGAGCAGCACACATTTCCTCCTCCCATCTGTTTCCCTGATCCTACCTGCAGCCTCCAACTGCTAAAATGTTGGAAGATCTGTGGTCAGGTCTCCTGCATCACATTTGCTTGCTCTCTTAGGGCATGAGTTTTTTTCCAGAACATTCTTTTAATAGAATGCAGCCATCAGAACTGTGATTTAAAAGGAGGCCAGAGTAGGTGATGTGGTGTTAATTTAGTCTTTCTCCTACTAAAAATCTTCTTCCAACTAAAAATCACTACTGAACTGAGGATAACGTATAGTAAAAACAATGAATTACATGCAGCATGTAGTTATGACTTTGATTTACATGAATTATGTTAGTTTCAGGTGGGTGGGTGTTGGTATGTAGTAGAAGGGCAAGATTCAAGTCCAGTAGCACTTTAAAGACCAACAAGATTTCCAAGGTATAAACGTTTGAGAATCAAACCTCCCTTCATCAGATACAAGTAGGAATGGAGACCCTGGAGCCCTTCTATCCTGGTCAGAAGGTGGGAGGGCTGTTGCAAAAAAGGTACAATGCAAAAATGTAATCACCTGGATTAGAGCAGGAAGGAAATGCTTAGGGGTGGGAAATGCAGGAAGTTAACATTTGTAGTGAGATTCCCAACTCTTATGTCTCTATTCAGGGGGGTGGGTCATTTGTTCTGAATTTGTGAATGAACTCAAGTTCAACAGTCTCTCATGATCTCCCCTTGAAGCTTCTGTTTGAGAACTGCCAGTCTTAGGTCAGCCATAGAAGATCCTGGAGGATTAAAATATGAATTATGTTTAATACATGAAACTACCTTGAGCTTTACCATTGATGTACCAAGGTCGGTCAGTATTCTTTACTTTGACTGGCAGTAAATCAGGTTTCAGGTAGAAATAATATTTTAGGCTGGTGCTGCAGGGAATTCAACCTTCCTGGGACCTTCTGCAAGTGACACAGATGCTCTGCTATAGAACAAAGCTTCAGTCCATTGGTACCTTTAAAACCAATACATTTAATCCTGGGTATAAACTTTCCTGTGCATGCACACTTCTTCAGATACAAGTAGATGTTCTGCTCGTGATATGTAATCCCCTTTGGTTGTGTGTGTGTGTGTGTGTTTAAATTAACAAAAGGTATACCCTGAATCAGAAGGCTGATGTGGGACATGGAGAAAGAGGGACGGCTTCTTAATCCCTTCTCTGGTAGACTGGTTACTTTGTTCGCCCACTGAAAATCGCCTTTCACTATTCCTCTCGCCCTCACGAGAAAACATTCAGGCCCGTCACAGCTTCGACCACGCCTCTTGCGTTTCTTGACTGAAAGAAGCGCAGTGCCTCCGTCGGCCGATAGGTGGGGGTGTACATTCGGACTGGTCGGCAACCGAGGCTGGGGGAGTGATTTACTGTGACGCCGCTCGCTCAGCGCCGAGGAGCAGTCAAGAAGGACGCGCGGGTGGGGGGGAGGAGGGCGGGAGAGAAAGCGACAGGATACAGCTGTTGCTGCGACTGCTAAAGTGCAGGTACTGTTGGCCGGCCGGGCCGGCCTCGGGGGGAGGAGCGCAGTCCGCGGCGCGCTGTTGTTATTGGGATGGCTGAGCCTCTGCAAAGTCAGTGGCTGGTTGAAGGAGGCCACTTCGCATTGGCTGGAGAGGGGGAGGAGGTGGGCGCGGTGTTCGGTGGCCTAGGTGTGGGGCCGGGACGGGGGTGGTAATCAGCTGCCTGCCTTACGGAGGGAGATGGGGCGGGGAGCATTGGCTGGGGAATTTCTCCTTCTCCCAGGGCCTGGATTCATGGTTGAGAAAGGAAGCGAGGTTGCCAAGTGTTGTGTACATCCTTTATGCATATATTACCTTTAGTTTTGTCCCCGGTGTTTGAGGTGTGTGCGGGGGGAGCATTTTAAAGGACTAATGATTCCTTAGTGCACTGTAAAGCAAATATTGTCCTTTATTCTTCCCCATAAATCTTCAAAGCAAGAATCCCGACACCGACTTCCAATTCAGTTATGTTTCCTGCTCTTGAAGACTGCATCATACTCATCATACTCTGAGCCAGTGCTTACAGAGGGATCAAGAATTGCTGTGTATAGGCAGAAAGAAAACTGCTCTAGACCTTATCTCTGAGGGAGAGTGCCGAAAAGAATGGATGGGTCCTTTGGGCTTTCTGAGTACCTGTGACTGGAACTGAATAGGATGGGTCTGCCAAATAAAACTTGGGAGTGGAGGAGGGATGTGGGTGTGTATCAGTGAGTTTATAATTCATTCTCATGCACTTCTGTGCAACCTGCACAGTATCCATACAGACATTTTAAAGTGCCCCTTTAAAAAAAATGCCTGTGAAGCTGCTCCTGGAGGAGGGGGGGGAGGAAGGTGTGTACATAGTAGGAAGGCAACACGGCTTGTAAACAAGGGTGTGTCCTGATAGATTTAAACCAGTCAAGAGCAGTGAGAAATCATGAGCTTGTCCCAGCAGGAACGGTACAGTCTCGGTTACTTGTTGGAGGTGTTAATGCCTCCTTTTTTCTGAGAGGGAATTCAACAATGGCTGATATTCAGAGATGTCCAAAGCACGACACGGTAATGAAGCTTTCAGACTGCGGCAGACCTTGTGGTGTGTGTGTCTTGCCGAATGCAGAAAATTCAATACTGGATCTGTTGGAGCAGATGATATCTGAACAAGATTCCTTAGGCCAAGCCCTGACTTCTCTCTCATCTGAGTTGGCGAAACTTGAGAAGCGCCTGGAAGAGACAGACCACAAGATAGAAGCTCTGGAAGAGAAGATGGTGTCCACTCAAGGTTGTGTAGTAAAACACTCTACTCTGATGAGAGAGCTGGCAGCAGGGCACCAGAAAGTGGACTACAGGCTGGAAACCCTGGAGAACAATGTGCGAGCTCGGAACTTGAGGGTAACTGGTGTCCCGGTGGCTGTCAGAGATATGAATCTTATTCCATTCATAGAAAATCTAGTGCCAGCTGCCATGGACATAAATGGGAAAGCAGATCTGGTCTGTATAGAAAATGCTTACCGTCTCCCAGCAAGGAATACCCAGGAGAGTAATAGCAGTACTGTGGTAATAACTCTCTCTGATTTAAGGCATCGACAGAGAATACTGAAGGCATCACAGGCTTGCCAGTCTGTGGACTTCCAGGGACATAAGATATCCTTCTTCCCTGACCTCAGTCCAGCCACATATGCCAGGCGGAAACGTTTTATTGCCCTGAGTCAACTGTTTCTGAAAGAAGGAGTTCAGGCTTATGTATTGTATCCTGCAAAGCTAAAGGTTACACATCAAGGGAAAAACTACATCTTTAAGGACCATGGACCTGCATTTCTGCTGTTGGATAGAATCAGAAAAGGTAGCTGCTGGAAGGAGACATGCTTCCCCCCCCTAGAATTGGGATTAAAGACAGGAAGCAATGGCCCTTTCTGTTGGCTATCTCGAGCCCTTGTTTCCTTGAATGTAGGGGCAATGGTGTAAAACAGGGTGGAATGGAGATTAGGCCAGGTTTACTGTCACAGGGGGGAACCTGTAGTTATTGAAGCATGCAGTCTGTCTTCTGCTATTTTATGAAAAGGTCAGTTTCGATAGTAATTAATCCTCACCTTCACACACTTCTTACAGGTGGGTATTATTCGGAGTCTTTTCTGAAAGGCAGCAACCCTTATCTATGCCATATCATCTCAAGGGATGAAGACTACGGGTGTCTTCTGGTATCGAGGAATCTCTTGTTAATAGGGTCATTTGCTCAAGTGATTGTGTGGCATCTGATTCTCTTGGCCAGTCCTGAGCCCTGAGTATTCAGTCTCTGCTGTAGGTGCCAACTGTCTTGTGTTTGGGAACGCCTACTGTATCAAGTCATCTGCCTGAGTAATTAGAAGCTCTGCTTAGATTGTAAGTGTGAGGAGAACTGTATATGAGCTCATGAATATTTGGCAAGGAGACCTGGGCATTACGATTTTTTGCTTTACATGGATTAGTTATGCTAGTTCTTCATCTATGTATTTGTATTGCTGTGCACTTAAGAACAGCCTGAAGCAGTTTTGCTGCAGGAGATACCACATATCTTGGGCAAGAGCCATTGTAGTGGGAGAAATGCGCTGACTGTCCCTAAACTAAAGGCCTTAGACTACATACAAACTACCATCCTTGTTACTGCTGAGTTAGTGAATCTTTCGTAAGATTATTGGCTTTCAGGAAAACAGATCTTTATTCACAGGTGAGTCTGTGTGAAGTGGCAGCAGCAATTGCTGACCATGCACTAAAGAACATTTGCTTCAGTATGCTAGGTATTCAGCAACACAGAAAATAATGCACTTTTTTTGATAAGTTAACAGTAACTCAGATCCCTTGCAGATGTTCCATTTGGGTGCTGCTCAGTGTTTAAAAGACCTTCTGGGGGGCTTAGCTGTGTAGTGTTCCTATTGATAACAGGCTTCGGAATCACCTCTGCATGAACAACAACAACAAGAACAAAACAAGAAGAACAAAAATCACCCTTATGAATTTGAATGTTTGGGGGCTTGGTAACCTCATCCCAAGCAAATGGCTAAGTACATTGGCTGCATTAATGATGGCCTAGAAGCAGCTTCTGTTTTTTTTGTTTACAGGCCCTGAAAGTAAATGGCAATGGTCTATGATGGGGGGGGGGTCTTTATTTTGATTTCCTGTCCTGTCTTGTTAATTCTGGAGGAGTGGAGAAACTGTCCTTGTAAACCAATGAAATGCATCAAGATGGCGGCTTCTAATGTATCTGAACATAGATTCCTTTGCTATAAAGTCAGGTGAATGATGTGGTGCTCACTGGCTTCAGATCATCTCCTAGCCTGAATACGTGGCTTAAGATGCTTTCAGGTGTTTGGGACTGGAGCACGTAAAGGGCAGTACCTGTTTGCTCTGTAAGCAGGTTTTGCATAGGTCTCCATAGGGTATGCCTTCGGGTGGAATTGAGTGAAGGTGGGGTAAGACTTAGGGGCAGAGCATCAGCCTTGCGTGCAGGTCACAGGCATCTCCAGTGAAAAAGATCAGATAGTAGGTGATATGAAAGACCTCTGCCTGAGACCCTGGAGAGCCACTGCCAGTGAGAACAGACAGTACTGACTTTGATGGGCCAAGGGCCTGATTCAGTATAATGCAGCTTCATGAGTTCATGTGCATCTTGTCTCCTCATCTCTAAAAGTGAAATTCACTTTCCTATCAAAAAAAGCTGCCAATGTATTTTATTGTATATAGGGCTTTTGTTGTTTTAGGATATCCGTGGTGTGTGGGGGTGGATTTAGTTGTCCTACTGGGAGAATCAGACATATTTAGATATGTGAGAGGCAGGTGAATGTCAACTGGACCCCAGACTCTAGGGATTTAAGAAGAAAATGAAAGCAAAAGTTTGCCCAAACCTAACCTGTTATTGGCATCAGTCAAGGGGCCATAGACTGCACTTCAATTCCTGTCCTAGAATGAGCTGCCAGAGATGGGTGTGCTCTTTGTATGACTGCAAGAGCTGATAGCTATGGGGTAGTGAACCTGAAGGAAAGTTACATCAATTTGAATGTTGCTGGAGCCTAAAAGGCCATTTGAAAAAAAGGAAAATCCTATGAAGAGACAGAAATCGGACTCTGGTGTATAACCTAAACCTGGTCAATGGTAAGAGAAGCCAAGTTGCTCCTTTTTTCTGACAGACCTCCTAAGTCTTTAATAGCGGCATGACAAGCTTTTCCTTTAGAAGTTTAGTCTTCATTGACATGGAAATGTAGTCATTGGGATAGGGGGGGATACATGGAAATGTAGTCATTGGGATAGGGGTATGTGTGCATTTCTGAATAGGAGGGCTCTGTGGCTCAGTGATGCAGTATCTGCTTTGCACATGATCATAGATTTCGTTGCTAACATCTCTAGGTTAAAGGATCAGGTAGGGTTGCCAGGTCTTCCCTGGCCACCAGCAGGGGATGGGGCATTAGGGTTGCCAGATCCATGTTGGGAAACTCCTGGAGATTTGGGGATGGAGCCTGGGGAGGACGTGGAACACAGTGCCACAGAGTCCACCCTCCAAGGCATCCATTTCCCCCAGGAAACTGATCTCTGCAGTCTGGAGATGAGCTGTAATTCTGGGGGATCCCCTGGTCCCACCTGGAAGATGGCATCCCTAGGATCAGGTAGGAAGCAGGGTCCAGAATATCTTCTGAGGCTCTGGAGAGCTGCTGCCAATAAGAGTACACAATACTGGCCTTGATAGGACCACTGTCAGACTCTCAGTATAAGTCAGCTGAATATGTTCATGACCATTTCTACCAGTTGTGCAGGAGCAAAAACACAGGGGAGTCAACCAGCGACAAGAAGCGGCCATCGATAGTGCAGAGACGGCATGTAGCAAAAACAGGGCTTCTGTCATTTGGCAGCTGCCTTTTGTTTGCCTGATGTCAGTCTCCCAGGTTGGCTGCATGTTGGTGCATAGGTTAAAGGGCACTGAAGCATTAGTAACAGTCCATTATGATGCTGGTCCTATGATACGTCCAGGCAATTGTTCACAGTTTAGGTCTGAGCCATCGGTGTGCTGCACTCATCCATCTCCTGTACCACCATTATAAAGGCTTAGGATATCATTATTGCCCAGGTAGCTAATGTTATATTGTTCACCACCCTGAACCTTGTGGGTACATGGGAGGGTGGTCTACAAATCTAATTTAATAAATCAATAATGAATAAATAATAAAGGAAGATGAGCCGGGGGGATCTGAAGGAGGTAGTGGTGTGGCCGCTCCTAAAGAAATAATCTTTGGACCCTACAGTCCTGGCCAACTACCACCCACTGTTGATCCTTCAGTTCCTGGGTAAGGTAGCTGAAAGAGTGGTGGCTGAACAGCTGCAGGCTGGCTTTTGTCCTGGCCGTGGGACCGAGACTGTACTGGTCACCCTTACAGATGACCTCCAGAGACACCTGGATTGAGGTGGTTCAGCATTGCCATTACTTCTCAATCTGTCAGCAGCATTCGACACAGTCAACCACGATCTTTTGACCCACCACCTCGGCGACAGGGAGATTTGAGAGACTGTCTTGCAACGGCTTTCCCCTCTTTCTCCAGGGTCAGGAACAGTGGGCGGCGCTTGGGGAGAAGATTTCTCCACGATACCGATTGGATTGCAATGACCCCCAGGGGGCAATCTTCTCCCTGATGTTATTTAGCATCTATAAATGCCCCCTCACCCAGCTAATCTGGAGGTTCAGGCTAGCGTGTCATCAATATGCTGATGACACCCAGCTATATATGTTATGGATGGACGGCTGGACTTGGCTCCAGATGTTTTGAACAGGGCTTTGAGAGCTGTGGTCGGCTGGTTGCAGCAGAGCCGGCTGAAGTTAAATCCATCGAAGATGAAGGTCCTGTACCCGAGCCGCAGGGGATTGGATATGGGAATTCGGCTCCCAGCTCTGGATGGGGCACCACTGATGCCAGCGCCGAGAGTAAGGAGCCTAGGAGTGGTACTGAATGCCTCATTATCAATGGAGGCCCAGGTCACCGCAGTTGCCAAATCAGCCTTTTCCCATCTTCAGGTTCAGCAACTAGCTGAACTAGCAACCTTTCGTCCTGCGACTTGGCTATGGTGATCCACGCAATGGTCACTTCCAGGTTGGACTATTATAACTCGCTCTACATGGAGCTACCCTTGTCCGTGACTTGGAAGCTGCAGTTACTGCAAAATATGGCAGTGCGCTTGCCAACTGTGATGTCTTCACGGGCACACATTCAGCTGGTGCTGTGTCAATTGCACTGGCTGCTGATACAGTTCTGGATCTGTTTCAGGGTGCTGGTGTTAATCTTTAAGGCCCTATGTGGCCAGGGACCAACATACCTGCAGGACCACCTGTCCCCATATGTGCCCCGAAGAGCCTTGTGCTCAGTAGATCAACATCTACTGGTAATCCCTGGCCCACAAGATGTTCATCTTGCCTCTACCAGGGCTGGGGCATTTTCAGCCCTGGCCGCCACCTGGTGGAACCAACTCCCAACAGAGACCAGGGCCTTGCGGGATCTATTACAATTCCGCAGGGCCTGTAAACGGAGCTGTTCCACCAAGCTTTTGGTTGAGGCGGTGGACATCCAACCAAATCTGGCCCCTCCTGCTCAAGCTGCCCTTAATCTTGATAGCAGTGAATTTACAACTCTGAGAACCCATACCAAATCAGGTGCCATATCCTCTCTGATGGAAACAGGCCCAGGACACCACAAGTTTTTTAGAATGCCATCCTGTTCATTAGAGAATTTGGAATGGTTTTCTTAGAGTTTTTTAAATGACTGGCCTATGTTAGTGTTTTGTGTGGTGTGACCTGCCCTGAGCCCACCCGTGAGGAGGGTGGGATAGAAATCAAATAAATAAATGAATAAAATGTTTGGGGCTCTCCAAACCCTTAGAAAAGGGGCATCCTCTAGGATGCCAAGTCAGCTATTGCTGTTGTAGGTAGGAGCTGAGGGAACAAGCAGTTTGTATCATCATCTGAAATCAAGACACCTGTATGCTTTGTTTTGTAAAAATCAATTTTTTAAAAGCATACTGATTGGTGATGGGGCACTGTCCTTTGGAAAGTCTTCCCTGATGATAGCCATCAATATTGTGCTTGTCTGGTCCATTTGTGAATCCTGCAGTTTCTCCTGGTGAATGGAATTCGCTGGCCTTGCTCAAGTTCTCTGATCCTAGTGGTTCTCTCTTTCTCTCAAACTCTTTCAGAAAAGATGACTATGACTTTGATCCGCAACAGGCTGGTTCTTCTGGTACTCGGAGTCCTCGTGACCTTTGTCCTCTACCTCTTACTTCCTGCGATCCAGCATGAGAGATTTACGTCTTCCGTTGATATCCCCAAGCCAAGAGCTATGGAGGAAGATATGAAGAAGGGTCAGATCAGCAGCAATGTCACCATCCTGACAGGGACAGTCTTGCAGAACCCTTCCGTTTTCTTTCGAGAAGCTGTACTGATACAGAAAGATGGGTCTCCCAGCACTGAAAAGTAAGTTGCCCTCCTGACCCCAGATCTGAAGGAGAGAAATGGACTTTATTGCCTTAACCTCTTGTGATGGCCTGTCCTTTCTGACAGTTTACAGTCATATTAGCTTGGACTGTAGTTTTGGGAGCTTAATGTCAGGGATGCCTGTAGCTGGTTAGGAAGACTACTAAGGACAGAACAAATGTTGGTAATCTTTTTTTTGCTGTAGCCCAGCTACATCAAGCCAAAGCTTAATGGTGTGTGACTTTTACTGTTGGAGATGTGGTGTCTGATCTGGCACCTGGATGTTGGTCATTGGTGATGGCCAATATTCTTAATAAATACTTGAAACCAGTGTGCTAGTATTTCTCTCTCTCTCTCTCTCTCTCTCTTTTTGTTCTTAAAGTGAATTCTAGAAGTAGCTTACTGAATTTCCCCCCAGTGACAGCTTTTCTTTGTTGCTGAAATAGAGTAATAGAATCATAGAGTTGGAAGAGACCTCCAGGGTCATATGGAGATTTTACCTGTTCACTTATATTGTGCCATCACCCAATGGCAAGCTGTCAGTAACTGGGGCTAGTTGTTGAATATAGAACTGGCCTCTGGGTCAGTTGCTCCATACTATTTACCACCTCTGCCAGCGTGGACAACAGTTCAAAACTGCAACAGCTTGGACTGAGTCTTGTTGATGCTGGAACTTCTCTCTTGCCTTTGTCATGGTAACTGGTGGACTTCTAAGATGGTAGTTTGAGTTTCTATTGCACAATGAATGTGACATTCTACTGAGCTGTTTCAGGAGGTTTGAAAGTTTGACAACTAGTACATGTTTCAAAGAAGACTTACTTTCCTGAAGTGAAGAAAAGTTATCACTGGGAAAATTGAAAATCCTCCAGTCACCATTTTTTTGCAATGGAAAGTTCTTTGTTAATTGCATGAGTGCCCTGGGTTAGTATTGGAGAGTGCCTGTGACATCTTTGGGAACCATCCACATGCTCCTACCTCATGCCTACATCATTTAAAATGTTGAATGTCTTTTTCAGAAGTGTTTACTGTTGTACCACTATGCCATGTTTATGTAGCCATCTAAAAGCTTAAAGGCAGAACTTGGCAAAGGCAAACAAGCCTATCCTGCCCCATACATCAGTCTCCTGTAATCTTGTACTCTCCCTCTTTCCTTACCCCCTTCTTATTTTGTTCTAAGCTTTGTACTCCTCCTCTCTACTGTCTCAGTAGTATACGTCTGCTTCCAGTGTCCACCCCATGCCAAATCTGGGCTAGCGCTAATTTTTATGCTGGGGGGGGAACCCTATTTGTGCTTCTCTACAAGAGTCCATAGGCTTTACATATTGTGTTTTCCTTAGCAGGCTGGAGGTCATCTTCCTGCATGGTCAGTCATTCACTTCCAAAACGTGGGAGGAATTGGGGACACTGGCTTTGCTCTCTGAGAGTGGGCATCGTGCAATAGCCATTGATTTGCCTGGTAAGAATGTGCTGTTAAGTTTTCTATGTTAATTAGTTGTAGATTTTCTGGGCTGAATGGCCATGGTCTTGGCATTGTAGTACCTGACGGTTCGCCAGCAGCTGTGACTGGCATCCTCAGAGGTATAACACAAAAAGATGGCGTACTCTCTGTGTCAATGTGAGAAGAAAAATGGTAGGCAGGTAATTTATATCTACTCAGGAAGGTGGGGTAGGACTGAGCCATTATCTTATAGCCTTTGATATGTGCAGGATGGATATGTGAATCGCACTTTCTCAACAATGAACTAAATCATCTAAACCACGCACTTCAAGCCAATGGCTACTCCAAGAAGGAAATCAGAAGACTGATTAAACCAAAGGTAAAACAAACAACTAAGGAAAAATAGTCTCCCATAGGAAAAGTGTTTTTGCCATATATCAAAGGAATCACTGATCAGATGGGAAAACCTATGAAAAAACACAATCTACAAACAGTATTCAGACCCACCAGAAAAATACAATAGATGCTACGATTGGCAAAAGACAAAAGACACCCCCTCACTTCTGCAGGAGTATACCACATACCCTACAGTTGTGGACAGGTTTACATAGGGACCGCACAGTGTAGCATTCAGACAAGAATAAAAGAACATGAAAGACACTGCAGACTTAGCCAACCTGAAAAATCAGCAGTGGCTGAATATAGCCTAACTCAAACAGGATACAGTATCTTATTCCAAGACACTGAAATGCTGGACATTCAATTACCATGTCAGATTACACAGGGAAGCCATTAGAATTCATAAACATAAACACAATTTCAACAGGAAAGTAGAGTTTAAAAATAAATAGGATATGGTTTCCTGTCCTGAAAAACACAAAATGCTCTACATCTTCCAACAGCACTACAGATAAGATTAGAATTTCAACAGCCAATCCATATGCAAAAGAACCTACTCAGGAAAGCTCCTCCATTAGCATGTCACAGCCTGGGAAACTCCTTCAAGATAATGACTCAGCCCTACCCCACCTTCCTGAGTAGATATAAATTACCTATCTACCATTTTTCTTCTCACAATGACACAGAGAGCACTCCATTTTTCTGTGTTATACCTCTGAGGATGCCAGTCACAGCTGCTGGCGAAACGTCAGGTACTACAGTGCTAAGACCACGGCCATACAGCCCAGAAAATCTACAACAACTAATGAACTCCGGCTGTGAAAGCCTTCAACAACGTATCTGTGTTAACGTCAACTTGTTCGAAGACTGTTTCCTTCCCACTGAAGCCAACTTTTTACCTTCAGTTTGACATGCAGTTAAAGCCTTCAACAACGTATCTGTGTTAACTTCAACTTTTTACCTTTGGTTTGACATGCTGCTGTAGACCAAAGTCAGGAATAACCAGGCCAAAATACAATATAATTCCTTGGTTGGTAAGTTAATTTTTAACAGGGACTTTGAGCAAAGGTGGATGGGCCAGCAACATTAGCTCTGCCCACAGAATCACTTCTGCACCAGTCAGGTCACACAGGCAAAAGGTTTGTTAACCTCTTCCCTCCCAGTGTACTCAACAGTAATAAGAGCTCAGCTTCGCCATTCCTACTGGTGAGAAAGTAGCCTGAAGTGTTTAATGAGAGGGACACTGGAGGCCAGATGGGAGAGTCCCCTACGCCTTCATTTGTCCATCAGTAGTGTGGCTGGCTTATTTCTTGGTGCTGTGTTTTCTGAAGGCTGTGACCAACAGCACAATGAAGCACAGTACTGCCCTTAGTTCTTGGATATAGTCCTCTTTCGGACTACACTCAGTGTTTACTAGGGGACAGTATTCGGTCCCTGCTCAGGGATTCTTTGTCATAGTTACTCATTGCCTTGGAGACATGGTGGAACTAGCCTATAAAAATTTGGCTTGCATCACTGTGTAAGATGGCTGCTAATTACCAGTAAATGGGAACCAGGAGAAGACTCTCTAATGCCCAGCTGTGTAATTCGAGCCAAATGGGCTGTATCTACTCAGACTAATTGTTAGTAGGTCCAGGTTAGAAAGGGCTTGAAATAGCAGCAGAGTCATGTCATTTTCCCTCTTGAAAAGCTGGGATCCTGCATCATCAGCTCCCTAGAGTCATTTGTTTCAAAGGAACAAACCTTAGCTTGGCATTTTGCAGCAAATCCTGTGCCAGAGTGACTTGGAATGCTTCCACCTAATGTTGGTGCCCTTTTTTTCCCAATGCAACAATAATACTTGGTGCTTATATAATGTCTTTGGGGTCAACAGTACTTTCACTACAAGATAGTGACTCACCTAAGGCTGCCGGGTGAGTTCATAAACTGATAACTGTAATGGGGGCTTCCTGGCTTATGGTTTGCAGAGCCACTAAACCAGGTCTGCAGAATGTGAATAACTGGCAAAGTAATAGTATAATGTGGTTGCTGCCCCTCCCAGTCAATAAGCGGTTGTGTGTTCCAGGTGTGCCCTAGGACCGGCACTTTGGCTGCCTTCCAGAAGCCATAAAATAAGAAGAAATAAAATCCCATCCTGTTTTTTTTTCTTTCCTTTAGAGATTGCTTAGTGCAGGAAAGTAAGAGTTTATAATGACTAAGGATACTAGAAATGTATGAACTTGTCCAAACGGTTGTTTTCTTTTCTTCTGGAAGTGTGTGTGTGTAAAAGTTAGCAGTTAAAATTACTTCCCTGGTCCTTTGCTAGTATAATTCAGTTGTTGCCAGTTTCTTTGCAGTCCATTAATCCAGTTCCTTTTGTTTCTCACCAGGCTATGGGGAGACTCCACGTTCCACTGCTTTGGAGGCAGCACAAAGTCGTGTTGCCTTTCTGCAGCAAATCTTCAAAGAGCTGAAGTTTCAAAGGCCTGTTCTAGTCAGTTCATCCATGAGTGGCCGCTATTCCATCCCATTGCTTCTGGCCAGTGGGGAACAGCTGAAGGGCTTTGTGTCCATCGCACCAGCGGGCACCAAGGACTTCACTACACAACAGTATCAGCAAGTCCAGGTATGGGTTTTAGAGCAGTGCAATAGAGCTACTACTGTAGTCCCAAACTCATTTGGTAAGAGTATTGTAAAATCAGCTTTAGCCTGTGGTTCTAGTGGGGAGGTGGGAAAGGGTAAATAGGGATAGACTTTCTTCACTGATGCAACTGTGATGCCTTGAATGGAATTTGTGCAAAAAAAAAGTCCCTACAGCACTGGTTCACGGTATGAGTGAAGAATCTGGTATGACACTTGGCATCCAGGGAAATCAACCATCACCCACCTATTTTTAAAGCAAGTTTTTCAACTTGAAAGATAATTGGAATGTGTGGATAGTGTTTGAAGGACCAGAAATCAGTGGGATTTTTTTCCCCCTGTGTTCTGTGGCTTTGAAGAGCTGCAAAGCTAGCCTCTGCTCCTAGACAGCCAAAATCTATTTCTCTTTCCATTCTCACTCTGCCCCCTGCTGCTGAGTCCAAAGCATTCAGTTCTTTAAATAATCCTGGTCTCATCAGATCTTGGGTCAGCCCTGGCTGGTATTTGGATGGGAGACCTCCAAGGAATTCCAGGGTTTCTATGCAGAGGCAGTCAATGGCAAACCACCTCCAAGTGTCTCATGCCTTGAAAACCCTATGGGGTCACCATAAATCAGCTGTGACTTGATGGCACTTTCCACTTCCAACATCCTGGTAATTAAGTGCAGGGGTCATTTCCTGCAGGAGCGCACAGGAGCAGAGCTCCGGCAGTAAAGAGCCCAGGGGGCGGGCACATGCAACAAGCCCCACCCCCTGCTCCCCGCAGCCCTCAGTCAGAGCAAGAAGCAGCCAGGTAAGCTGCAGAGCTCCCCCCAGCCCCCCAGTCCAAAACAGTCCAGTGGCACCTTCAAGTTTTATTCAGGTACAAGCTCTCCTTCCTCTGCGAGGACAGATCTGCACGCCCCCCCCCCAATAGCTAGCAATCCAGAACAGTCCAGTGGAGCCTGAGCGGAGGGGGTTGCCTTCTGACACACTTCGAGTGATGTCAGGGGGTGTGGCGTATGCAAATGAGTTATGCTAATGAGCTCCTGCACCTCTTTTCTACAAAATGACCCCTGATTAAGTGCATGCCAGTTTGTTTCATTTGCATAATTTTGTCTGCCTGAGCCTGTTGTACAGCAAGGACAGCATTGTTCTCTCAAGCACACTTGTTCAGCTCTTCCTTACAGTTTTGCTTTGTATATGTTTATAGCTTTTCACTTAACGTTTCAACCCTCCTGCCATGAAGCCTTTGCCAAAGTAAGATCAAGTATAGAATACATTTGTAATCATGTATTCCTGCTAGAGAGATTCCGTTCCCAGCATTCCCACCTCCCCCTGAATGCTCTCCTGTTCTGTCTGTATGTTTCTCAACCATGGACACACTCATGTTACGTGATATAGTCCCACGACACACTGTACATTTTGGTAAACTAGGAAAGAGAAGCAGAGCTGGAAGGAACTGAAGGCAGATGTGTGAGGAGCAGTTACTCTGTTGTTATAACCCCTGCAAGAGAGAAGCTGGTGGAGATATGCTCTACTGTAACATACGCAGGAGTCCAGGTTTTTGCTGGACCTATTCATTTCTCCTTGTGAGAGAGCTGGTGTAGTGGCTGTGTTCCAGAAAAGGAAGTTCTTGGCTCAGATCCCTTCTGTGCCAAAAACTTCATGATGTGGTCTTTGGGAAGCCACTCCTCCATTTCAAGAACTCCCTCTCTCATCTGCAGTATAGAGATAATGCCAATTAACTTTATATTACCAGAAGATAACATGTTTGAAGCACTTTGAATAGCACTATACATGCTACATATTTGTTTATGTATTACATTAGTATATAGCCTGGGCATAGAGACGTTCTTGTAGGGTAGCAAAGCACTGTATCTGCACAATCTCCACTGTCTCCTGTGTGTGCCTCCCAGTGCTTTGATATCATCTTTCTCTAAGATATGAACTAAGAGTACATAGCAGGTCCTTTACAACTGTGGCCCTCCCTCTCTGCAGCTCCCAGCCAAGAAAACTCTCATTGGAGGGTTTTTGCCATCAGCACAAGTCATATATTTATTTTCTCATTTTTAATGATGTTGGCTAGGTTTAGTTTTTGCTTATCTTCCCATTTCTTCCAGTTCCAAGCACTATATATTAGTTTAGTTTTAGTATAGTTCTTAATTTCCCCTTTTCAGTCATCTCTGTACTGATTTATATACATTGGTTTGTATATACATTGGTTTTATATACATTTCCATCATGGGAAAGGCAACTTGGACAGGTTAAATGTTCAGTGGACCTTTCAAAAATCCGCCTGCAGATCTGGTAAAAATCACCTTTTGCAGAAACCCCTTGGGGACATTCTTAATGTATTAATATTTTGATCTTTCTAGACTCCAACTCTGATTATTTATGGCGAGCATGATACTGCCCTGGGCCTTCAGTCTCTGCAAAGCCTTCAACAGATACCCAAATCCAGAGTTGTCATGTTGCCTGGAGCTGGCCATGCCTGTTACCTTGATAAGCCTCAGGAGTTCCACAAGGTGCTCCTGAATTTCCTTGGTGAGCTCAAGTGACTGTGTGGAGTTCGCTTTCCCCTGCCGCCGTCTTCTTGAGGGGGAGAAAAAAGAACAAAGACAAGACTGTACCACATGACTGGGTGCTGTGTGTTTGAATCTGTTACTCCGTATTTAAAGGGCTGTGGGTTTTGCTGACTGTTCATGGGAGGAGCTTCTCACTGCTTGCTTGTGGGTCTGTTTCCATTATGCCTGTTTGCAGGCTTGACTGGCTAAATCCTGCATTTTTACGCAGAAAAACTGGATCAAGGGGTAAATGGAGGAGAGCGACTCCTTTGAGGTGTCTGTTACAAAGGAGTCTGGAGAATTCAATCTACGCTTCATGGTCAGCCTCTCGTCCTGTTTAAGAGCTGATCCCTCTGAACAAGGATACGCTCCAGCGTCTTGTTTCAGGAGCACAAGCCATTTTTGGAACGCTAAGGTGTCACTTCTCCATCATCAGTGGACTTCCACACTCCTGCTGTAAGGCTTAAGTTCTCATCATGTACTTACTGATTTACATCCCACCTTTTTCTTGGCTGGGATCGCCTAAAATTCGTCCATGGATGGAACGAGACCAAGTGGACTTCTGTACTCCCTGTATGTGTTCATGATGTTGTCCGGAATAGCTGAGCATAAGGAAGTGGTTTTGGAATTGGCAAGGATGTTTTTAGAGGGGAAAAGCTCCTGTCTAAATGTCCTTCTCCCAACCTCCCCACCCCATAACAGACACACATATCCAGAAATCCTTAGTGTGCCTGAGGCTCCAGATCTAATAAGTTGGTTGTTGTATGTAAATGATTTTCCTTTTTTTTTTCCATTGGGGATTGTTATATGAGCTATTGTTCAAAGCAGAAGGAGTGGGACATAGGGTGACTGACCTAATAAGTTATCCAGGGAGTGCAGCCCACATGTTGGGGAAGGTAATCATTTATCCTGCTCACGAGGTCATAAGCTGCCTTAGGCTTATGAGCATTGAAGAACTGTTACGTGTCAGTCATTTCTGTGTACATGCTTATGCTAGGCACTAAAGGGAGCAAGGAAGCCTTGCCTGACCGTAACACGGACACATACTTGCCAGTCATCTTCTGAAATGGATATTCTTGTCACACCCACTCATCTTGGAATGGACTTCCTCTCTGTTCATCCATATTAGAAGCACTGAATTGGCCAGATGCATCCTGGTCTCTTAACATTTTCTGTTAACATGCGCCATCACCCTGCAACTCATGGTGCTCAGCCTCTAAAGGCTGATCTGAATTGAGACTGTGGCTGACATCACTGTGGCTGAAGGTCAGAGCACACACCTGTCGTTTAAAGGACATTTGGCTTTATGATACCACTCTAAACAAGGCACCAGTATGGATCTGGGGCAATTTTCACGATGCTACAATAATACAACTAAATTTGCCAGCAGCCTTATTCTAGTAAAATTCCACATGGCTAATTTTGGAAAGATATTTCCTCTGTCGTAAACAAGCATTGTGTTCTTCTGAGTACTCTTCCTAAATGATTTCAGGTGAATTCTTTCTGTGTTTCTCAGCACTCTGATTCAGGCTGAATTGTTTTGAACTGTTTGAAAAATAAGACACCAGGTGGTAACTTGAGTCAACTCATGGTTAATTTCATATGCTTAGGATTTTAAAATTTCGGGAGCTTTGTTTGATCTTTTATGACTGCTTGTCTGAACAATCTTGAGCATCTTCAGGCGTTACTGAGTAGTATGGCAACCTACACTGCTGTGTGCAGTGTGTGAGCCATTGCCTTAGAGGGCCACTGCTGACCAAGAGCAAACAGCCCCAACAGCTCTGCCAGTGCCTCGGGGGCTACTTGACTCAGACCCTTCATTAGCAGTGCTGTTGGCATCACCTCAGCAGTTCTCATCCCTGCAGGGTTGCCAGTTTCAGGAGGAAGCAGTAGGAGAACTGATGCCCATTTTTAGTGTTGGTGAGCAAAGTGGCTCCTGCAGCACTGGCTCTTGTAATGGGGGGGGGGGGCCCTGCTTGGCTTGCTCCAGGGCCATTTTCACCTCCCAGTCAACTGCTAGCGATGTAGGAGATTTGTGGATGATTTTTCACAATGCAGACAATGGGTGGATTGAAAAACGTAGTTCTAACTCATCTGGGAAATTAGTAAGAACTTTTTTGCTGGCTTTCAGGCCTAAACACCTGAAGCCGCTGCCAAGGTGGGGGGGGGGGGGGGGGGGGGGGGGCAGGGCTTGCTCACATGGTACATCTCCGTCTCTAACCACTTCCTGACTTAACCTTTTTTGATGAGCACTTCAACACATGCAAGCATTCAGACTTGTGAAGGGGACACTGATGGGAGAGTGAATGTGCCTAAGGCCAGGAGGGCTGGATCTGTAATCTAGAACATGGAGGTTTTCTTCTCTTTTGGAGACAGTGAAATTCACCCTTACACTTGGTGAAATGGCCTGTCTAGGGGGGGAAAGTTTCTTACAGGACATGGAAGAAAATAGCTTCCAGTTTAATGCCTCAGTTCTCTTTTTTGCAGACACGATGGAATTTGGCTAATATATAAAGTTAAATGAAGTCTAAAGGAGGTTTGCATAAATACTCAAGATAATTATTAAAGGACTAGTTAGGCAATAGTTCCTTGGTTGGCTGTGAAATATGCAAAGCATGTCGCAGCCAGGATTCATCTTCTGTCCTGCATGTGTGATGAAAACCTTTAATCTTCCATGCCCCTGGGTTGGCAAAGCAGTTTCTGATGCCACTCTGAATAGGAATGTGCTGGGGTCGATGTGCAGAATATAGGTTATTGACATGTTATGGTAGATCTGAGAGATGATGCACACTTAACATGGAATATGTTTGCTGTACAAAGATGGTGTTTGCAGCAGTAAACACTACAACCAGTGAAGCGTAGATGTGGGATTGTCCTCTTGCAGTGACACACATCAGGGCTACTCAGAGCTGCCTGCCATTTGTCCACTGTGTGTTCTAAATGTATATCTCAGCTTTGCACTTGATAATGTTTACCATGGTAAACACTCCAGTTCCATGTCACAGGCTCCATAAACAGTGGTCCATATCCACTGCATACTGACACATCTCTCAGCTACAGACATAGTGAACTAGTTTTAATACCCATGGACATCTTGTATGTAATAGCATAAGTTTGTACAGAGGCAGGACATATAAGAGGTAGAAAGTCAAGTTCCTCATTGATCCAGTGTAGTAGGTTCCTCTCATGGAACATCCCAGTCTTGCTCTGTGGGTACATTGCTTAAG